TCCTCACACAAAATTTCAATAAAATCAATCAAATATTTTTTTGGAAAAAGTTAATAATTTTAAAATTATGCAAGTCTAAAACTGAAGTCTCCGAGTAAGAAAATTTTATGAAATATAGAAGGGCATTTAAACTTTCAATCCGTTTTGAAAAATTACAATTCTTTAATTACAAGAGCCTAGAGACACCCGTTAATAATTATTGAATTTTTGAGCTAATAAAGAATTATAAAACTTTTTAAACTGGTAACCTTTTTTTTTTTTGAGAAATATATATTGAAAGTACTTTAAAAGACGATTGGGGGAGCCGAGAGTGCGCCCGCTCTGACCCACTCGAGATTAAAATCACACAATACGTGAAATTTTAAAAATTTTTGAACGATAATTATGTATACCATTTTTCAAAGTAAAACACTTGCACGTCACGATTATACAAAGTCACGTCACTTATATTTAAAATTTTCAGAACATCAACCTATAGTTCATATTTTCTTAACACAACTAATAATACGAAACCCATACGAAACTGCTCGATCGTTCATAGGCGTTAACATGGTACAATAATAAAAAAAAATAGTCATAATTATATTTAAAATTTTGAAATGATATTGATTAAATAACCAAAAACATTTATTATTATTAATAATATAAATTTTATGAAATAACTTTTGAAGTCTAATATTCCACAAAATAATAATTTTAATTAAATTTATTAGACAATTGTACGCAACTGATACGGAAATACATATAAAATATTATTGAAAATTTAACAGGTGGCAAAAGTGTATTAAGTGTTGCCGTTTTTTAGAGTAGAAATTTTGTTTGTTTTCATTTCTTATACAATTTAATCATAATATAATATGTATTAATAAATTGTATTTATAAATACATTTTAAATTTAGATTAATAGCTTTAAAAACTAATTATTATTGTGATTGTGATATGCCAAAACAAATAAATAGTCTGTAGAACGCTGATAAGCTTTCATATAAGATAGATTCTTTTGAACAAGAAATAATGGCGGGACGTTTTTGTTATTAAAGCCCTAAAAGAGGTAAGTTCTAAATTTAGAATATATAATTTTGTATTAAAATGTTTTCTTATGTATTTTAATGTGTTGCAGTATCCTTAAAACTAAGTGTATTTACTGTTAATATAATAGTTTGACAAATAGTTGACATTTTAAAAATTCCTCACTAACTATTGTGAAATTTTGGCAACGCTGTGGGATTCTGACGACGTAAATGTTGAATGGTGCAAGCTTTTTTATATGAAAAATGCTGAATATAAGTTATGACAATAATGTTTAATAATAAAAAATATATAAAAGAAAATTTTAAATTTAAAAGAAAAAATATAGTTGTACCTTTGCAGAAGTTACAATGCATAAAAAAGTAAAAGATAAGGAGACAATTATAGATTCCGTTATAGATAAGGAGACAATTTTATTAAATAATTACCTTATCTTTTACTTTTTACACATTGTAACATGCTGTAAAGTACAAATCTATTTTTTCTATTAAATTTTAATTTTTTTGTAATATAAATTATTATTAAACATTATTGTCATAATTTATATAAATATATATTATTAAAAGTATTTTAGAAATTTTTAATATTTCAATTATTTATTATATATATCGGCCGAAGAGGTTTCCTTAACTTTCAACGATTTTTTTTTAAAGAAACGCCAAGTACTTTCATTAAATACTTAAAAAAAATTAGGACAACAATTTAAAATTTTAATTTTTCAAAATGGATTGGATAGTTTGAACGTCCTTGTATCTGTCATAAAAATAACTATTTAAAAGGGTTATTAAGTTTTGGGATTAATTTTGAAAATCATTAACTTTTTGCTTAGTTGGTTAAGTTAGATAAGTTGGTTACCAAAATTATCGTGCAAAAACTGTTTGATCGATTTTATAGAAATTGTATGTGATGATTGAACATATTAAAACGTTTTATTCCGCGAAGTATGAAGAGTCTATGTATAAAATAAGTATATAATAAATAAAGTCCCAAAAAACCCTTTTTTAGTTAAGCCCATTTTTTGAAATCACACGCATAGTGAGATTATGATTTCTAGTAATAATTGGAAGCACAGTGATACTTGGAGAAACAAATACAGCCTGTCTAATGTATGTATGTATGTATTTAAACTACAACTTCGTGTTTCAAATATATAAAAGTTTTAAATAGCTTAATTAGAAAAAAATACAAACTTTATGTTAAAGCTTTTTGTACATTTTGTCATTGGAAGATAAAAAAATTTTATAGACTAGTAATTTGATTTGGTTTATTAAGCAAGTAATTTTTTTAAATGAAGCAATTCCTATTATAAATTTGTATATTTTTAGGAAAAACGTTTGATTTGTATTGCTAGAGCATTTGGCATATTGTAAGAAATATCTTAAACCATTTAATAATAGTCCTTTTTGAATTAAATTCAAGAAATATACACATTTGCGTTTAAATGTAGCTTTTTCCTTTGGATAATCAACTAACTTTAAATACCTGTTTAATTCCTGTATTACAGTACCAAATTAATGCCCGTTCTTTATTGTTTCTCTAGTATTTTTCAGTTATGTTTACTAAAGTGACTAGTTTTTAGATTTTTTAAAAATATTGTAAACATTATTTCCGTTAAATTACATTATCAATTAATAAATATAATCATGTAATTTGTTTTAAAATTATTCCTGGACGGAGACTTTTCAAGAATCACTATAACATTGTCAATCTAGTTGAGTAGTATTACACATAATAAGTGCGATGATATATTAAACATAATAAGTGCGCGAAATGTCATAGGACTTGAGTTATCGAACTCTTTTGACCAAGGAACCGATCGGAGGATCACTTCACTTTCACTTGGTGTGGTATCTACGAGATGTTACTGTTAAGTATTATTTGATATACAGGTGGACTTTCGCGCGACATCAGCATAATTAAGTACAGTGTAGTTATTAATTTACTGATTATATACTTTTAAATCTGTCACTTATTAAATGCTTCTTCTTGCTTATTTTCATTCCTCCTTCCCTGATTTATCTACCATCGCTAGATAAACCCATCATTAGGATGAAGTTGCAAGTCTTTATTGCTACATAACATTCCGTGTACAAGAATATATGATACAATACATTTATTGCTACTGGAACTGTGTGATCTAAGATATTTGATTAATGTTGTTCAAGTATCGTCAAGTACGTATATAATTAGGTTATAATGATTTAATATTTATCTTACAATATGTTCTTTTGCCATTTGAACTGATTATTTACAAATTTTTTATACCACTTTTCAATATTATAGTGGTGAGATCTATGAAACCTATAATACCAACCATTTAACCACCATAATGATTGAAATGTAAAATATATATAATTTTTGTATGTATAACTTTAGAATACATGTTATTTATGGAAATCAATTAGAGAGAATGTACTTTGTACAAAAAATACAACAAAATGAATTTAACTGAGACATTAACATTAACAAAATCGATGTTCTTATAGAAAGGAATACTTTTATGACGCTATTCAAATATCAAGTAAATAAATATCTTAAAATACTATCTTAATCATAAATAAGCTTTGTATTTAAAAGTCATGCGGTTATTTTTATCTTCCGGATGATAAAAATTTACATTTTCATTAACACTTTCCATTCTGTCCAGATTTTCATAGCCTTTATATCCTTGATCAGTATTGTTTTCTTTGAAGTTTTTCAATATATTTCATTTACTCGTCCACTAACTTTTTAGCTTACAATGTCATCATTGCATGTGTTTTCAGTCTTCTCTCTCCTCTCTTCTCAAAACCAACATGAATCTAGTTATTTATCTTCCTTACAAATATTCCTAACTAGTATGTTTACTAATTATCTCTTGTCAATTTCATGGAACAGTAACACAGGTATCTGTCATAAAAACATATTTCTTGTTTCTGTCTCTTTGTTGTTGCTATTAATTTTTAATAATAGTTCGTTCGTTTTCAGTATATATAAAAGAATAAATACTAGTTATTTCAGATAGTATTGGAAGTGCTTTCTTCCATTTATTGTGGAATAATGTGAGTTTTTATATTGGTTGATGCTCAAAATAGTATCAATGTATTTCACAGCCACATAACTAACGTTAAGGTTTTAATAGTTTTAAGTTGTTACTAAATATTTTTTTGTATAACCATTTGTAAGTAAACTAATATGAGGCATATGTCATATTTGTGTAAAAACTGGATAAAAATATGCAATGGTGTTTTTTTCTGTTATAACAGCGAATACAAGTGACCCGTTGCCGTGATGTGTGCTACAATTGCGGAGAAAAAGTGGATAACACCTTTGGTAAACATAATAGGATACGAATAGATAGTGGAAGTGAGGCGTAAAAGATGTCAAAGTGGAACAATAACACGGTTGATTACTTCGAACTCGGACAGAAACTGACACCGAGCTTATAAAAATAATATTTGATTAAACCTGAAAAATATTAAGAATAATAAATAAAACAATATGTAATAGCTTACTAAGGGTAGTCGGTAGTAATAATAAAAAAGTATTTTTTAAATATATGTTTAGATCAGTACGTTTGCACTGAAAGATATCCGTGAATTTAATATATATATATATATATATATATATATATATATATATATATATATATATAATATATATATATATATATATATAATATTACTAAAGATCAATTTGAAAGTATTTTTTAGTTTACTACAAAATGGTTATTTACAGAAGAACAAAAAATAAAAACTTAATCTTCATTTGTCATTAAAAATGATAACTATTATCATCGACTAAATACTAGAGCTCTTCCATTACTTTTTCTTATAAAAAACTTCATAATTTTAAAAGCTGTTATGTCGTTCAACAACCATATTTTTTAACAAAAATTAAAAAAACTGAACAAAATATAAGTTTTCTGTACGAAAACATTTTTAAATTATCAATGTAACTTAAACATGTATATTCTGGTCATACAAACTAGAAAAAAAATGATTATAATTCTTTTGAATGTTAGTTTAGATTGGACAATAAGCAGTTATAAAAATATAACTTAAATATCAGAAGATAAATATATTATGTACTCACCTATCTGATATTGATTTCTAGATAATTTAACATGTATTCATAAATATCCTATACTAGTATCTCTACACTCACTTTTTTTAATAATCTGATAATACAAAAATACTACTTCTCATAAACGATAAATAAAAATCCACAATAGCTCAGTCGTTCTTCAGAATTTGTGAATGTTTTCACTCTCTTCCCTCAGTTCTACCCCCAACTTTGTTCATGCAATCCTCATCCCCACTAGCTCGGGCGTGGCGAAGCAGTACTAACCACTACAACAGGTTTTACCAGGTACTGTGTTATTGGTACCACCTTTCCATTAATTTGTTGTGGTGCTAGGAAATGGGTGGATACCAAAGGAGTTAGGCCGTCTATACTCTTTGGCACCAAGGCGACTTTTTGAAGGACCAAACCTTGGTTGACTGGATACGTCATGGGAAGCACAGATAGGGCTGTTGTTTGGACTGGTTGTGAAATCTGAAAATATGTTTAATAATATATGACTTTTTGTATAAGGGACAATAAAAGATGATCAATAAATGAAAAAAAAAAAAAATCAGAACTTACATTGAAAAAGTAAAGTCAAACATCAAAAATTTATTCATATTGAAACGATTTTTAATATAGTCTATCATAGTCCAAAATTATTAACATAGCGAAATATTTAATTTTGGTATACATGATTGGTCGAAACTTGGAATGGGTATTTTCTAAGTTTTCCTAACCCTGGATCACTCGCGCCCTAAAAAGTTATGCGAGTGCTTGCGTGTTTCTCTCACACTAGGATCCTTTTAACGTTTTGTTTAGTGTAATAGTTTTCTTTTTTATTATGAATAAAACTAAAGCACTGATAATAATAAAGGATTTATTGTATAATATAAGTTAAAAAAAAAAAGGTTTATTTGAGTACATTATAAACATAAAGAAAATTTTTATCATGTGAACAAAAAAATAAATACCCTACATATTTTACTTTTAACCTATTTAATGTTATGATTAAATAAGATAAAAAACAAAGTATTAATGGAAAACTTAATCCGTTGAAGTATCGGCTATTATCGTTTACGCCAGAACACGTTGAGCATGTGAAGGTGGTATGCTCTGTGCAAATAGCAACATTGCAGCTAACACATTGTTTTTTTGACTTTCTGTTCTCCCTTCTTGGACAAGTACATAAAATTCTAGAGATACTTCTATCTTTTGTTCAATTCGGGGCATATTTAAATATTCCCTTAACATGCTTCGTATGAAGTGAAATCTAAAAAATATCAGTACGTTCTTTTGAGGCTTTGGTTTATACTATAGCAACATAATGTTCTTCTGAAAACCAAACATGCTATTAGGTGCACTGACGTCAAATAATTGTTAAGTGTATTGTTTCTACCTGGAACTAATATAGGATATGCTATACGATTAACAACAGCAGATGAATAGTTGTCTAGATGAAAAGGACCATCCGGCCGTTTTCCTGCATATAATTTAATGCCATATTTGGCAGGTTTGTTAGAAATATACTGCCGAAATTTGCACCGTCCTCTGGACAATTTTCTTGGCATCTGAACAATGTTCCAATATTTCTCTAATAACAGCAAAATTATCATACTCTTTTATTTCGTTTCTGTCATTGATATTGTCAAATCTTAGTGTCCTTCCTAAGAAATGAAAGCGTTCTCGTGACATCGTTAGTCTAAAGCAATCAGGTGCAAATATCAAATTCTCCCAAAGTTCCTTCGTATTTAAAGCTTTCCGTACCTCAGTCATGTATTGTCAGTATCTTGGCAAACTCTTTCTCTGGTATAATTGTCTCGTATTTTGGCTATATAGATATTTGTGTAATACACGATTTTCTCTATCATTGCATCTGTTATATATAATCCCCAGCAAGTTTCAAAATGCAAGTATTTGCATTTTTTGCAACATTTTTTACTCTGGGAATATGTCTAATAATATTCTTTTTATGCATTGTTACATTTGGTCGTGGAGGATGAGCCATCCAGTGAGTTTTTCTGTCTTTACCAGTAAAATGGTGCCAAGACGCACACGCACGCATTTTCAACATCTTCATCGGATTGTTCGGAGTCCGTATTATGTTCACTGCGAGCGTCGTCTACGACGTCGACTCGTCCGTCATTTTCAATTATTTCCTGATTTTGGCCCTGTTCTTGGCAGTCTACGGTATGCTAGATATAATCTCTTCTCTTTGAATATCTTTATATCGAATTTGCCTCGATGTCTACAAGCATCCATCCTCCACTCATTCTGTACTATTTAAAATTATATTATAACAATAATAAAACATTATGTATATAAAAAAACTTACATTTACTTGTACCAGAATTTAATTTGACCCTGCAAGCAATATGTTAACGTAGGAACTCGCGCGATTAGAGAAACTCTCACACAGAGTTAAGCCTGTTAATGATGACACTCCAAAATTGAACTTGAAGTGAGAGCAACAGTGCAAATGATTTATCGTTTGCAGAATGTGCATATTTAACGGAAGCGTGAGAGAACTGCTCATAGTGCGAGTGATGCAGGGTTAAATGAAACACCCCGTATTTTAGTATTGAAATGAAATGTTATTTTATGCTACTTTATTATTTATTACGATTATTATATTCTCTCTCTTTTTTAGTGAATGAATATTTATTTCCTGGAAGATGGATTAGTAGGAGAGGAGCCATTAGGTAGCTTCCATCAACGACAGAGTTAAACAAGCTAGACTTTTTCTGAGGCTTTATAAAAGATAAGTTGTGTAAAACGCCAGCTACAACTAAACGAGATAGGAAAGAGATAATTAGAAATAAATGTATGAGATTAAATAGAAATGCATTAACTAGTGTAAGTTGCTCTTTTGTAGATCGCTTGCAATTATGTACTGACGTCTCCGGGAGCCATTTTGAGCATTTATTATAAATTTAACGATTTTCTTGTTATATTTGTTAAATACATTTTTTTACATTAATAAGAAGACTCACAGATAGAAAAATAAAATTGAGGATTAAAACAAAAATAAAGTTAATAAAGAGTATAATTCTACAGATACTAACATATGCATCTCTAGCATGGGGACACATAATATGTAACATCACAACGAAGAGGATATAAGCGGCACAACAGTAGTCTAAACGAAGCCGGCAGCCGAAGTACGTTGCGGAAAGATTCATATTCAGAGAATCACAACAATTCATAGTGACTGAGCACAAAAGACCCAAACAACAAATACTGTAATAAAACAAAAGAAATACCAAAGAGAAAATAAATAAATATACCAGAGACAAAACTAAAATTGCCGGAGAGAAAACAAAATCAACAACAACACATAAAAGCGGATAGTTCGTAGCTTTATAATAACGTGGACAAGCACAGCACAGTATAGGTCCCAGGTAAAATGAGTTAAAAAAGCGGCTTGGGCCAACAAAAAATTACAAAAATAAAAAAATTAGTAACAAAACCGGAGCAAGCCAACAAAAAATTAACAAAACCAAAAAACCCGGACACGGAGGGTCCAAATTATTGAGCACCAAATCTCTGAACTGAGCATTAATGTCGATACGAAAGTAAAAAAAATCTTTTCAACTACCTCATATAACATTACAACATACATGTTGCAAAAACGAGCATATCGAGAAGAGTTCAAAAATGTAAAAATATATACAGGGTGTTACATAAAAAAAGATCATTTTGTTCCACCCTGTCATAATGGATATCCCCATATATTTGAAAATATTTTCAAATTATGGTCATATCTATACTCCAACTTTTGCTTTAATAATTTTTTTTCGTATCTTTTATGACACATGAGTAATTTGAATTCCTCGCACTAATGCCACACCTTGTATATTAAAGAAAGTGATTGAGTGGAGTATATTAGTGATAGTGATTAGATAAATTCTTGAATTTGATGTTGATGTTCTTAAGTTTTTACAATAGTACAACCTAAGGTTTATAGAGCTTTCCTGTATCTGACATGTAGTAGTATTAATTTGTTTCGTCGCAGATTAAAATTTAAATTAAATTCAATTCATCTAACTCTAATAAATCCTATACTAACAGCTGACTGAATATTTAGTGCAGCTTCTATCAGATTGGTGATGCCCATTGGCACTAATGTCCCCAATACAATACTTGGTTTGTCAATCTCACTCTCAATTTATAGTTGCTCACTCAATGTGTTATTATTTAGTGTCATTTATTATTTTTTAGTTGTTTGTTGCTTGTTTGATGTTGTTTTAGCTTTTAGTTTTTAATACATATAAAAATAACGCACTGGGGCCTGATGATAAGCCTTGAAACCGGTAGCCCAAAATTCATCAACTTTATTAAATAAAAACTATTTACGATTGTGAGTATTAGCTCATTTCCATATACTAGTTTTATGGACTCAGATTAGCAACCTTTTGATTAGGCAATCGTGACTTTAATGAAAAAAGTATCCATTACATCTTATAAAACTTTTTTTATATCTTCTACATTAACCGATATTGCCACACTCAGTACGTAGTCAAAGGATTAACTAAAGTTTTTCTGTAAAATGTAACATTTTGTGAATGTCAACTATCAGCTAAAAATTAATAAATAAACGCCAGTCTTCAAAATTATGGGAAATAAATCGATAAAAGCAAAAGGGAAACCAGAAAATAGTATAAAGGGAAACAAAGATAACATCAATAAGAGAAAATGGGCTCAAAATAAAAATTAAAAGTAGAATAAATGAAAGACAATTAAAAACAAGATGTTGAACCAAAAGAACAAAATACAGTACATATTACTCAGTATGTTTAGTAAAATAAATTAACAATTAAATCTTCGTAAAGTTCTTTTGCTTTATTTAGAAGTTTTATCATAGAGACAAAAAAAAACCTTTAAAAATGATATTAGTACTTACCTCTTTAATCGATAGATTTTGAGTGACGACGGGTATGCTTCTTTTCGCTAAAATAGGAACTGAAATCTCTTGACTTTCACCATTGTGAATATGAGATCCATTGTCTATAACATGGTCCTTCAAATCATCTTTAACTGACATTGAAGAATTTACCACTGGACTTAAATTACCTTCTGGTAAAATTTTGGAAAAATCTATGTTATCGTAATGAGACATTATATCCTTTTTCAATACGGCTAGCCTTTGTTGTGCACTAATTTTTTCCCTGGCTAAACGCTCCATTTCATGTTCGAGTTCTCTTTCTTTTCGTTTAAGAGTCTGGATATACCTACAGAAATCAAATAAAATATTTAGTAATAATTTCAATCAAAATTAACAATTAAAGTTAGTACTAGTTGTAAATGATTTATAAGAAACCGGTATGACTGCTTAACAACGCACCTAGACAAGAATAAGAAGAATAAGTAGAAGAATATATAATTTAAAAAGTAGTGTACTCAAAATAATAATATCTGGGTGATAATAAGAGATAAAAAAAATAAATATTAAATTTAGGAATAGGCAGGATTCTATAACTAACTCACACGTACTAAAACTATGACGTTTCGACGGCTCCTTTTTGACTTATACTGAGACTAGAAGCTAATAACACATGAAAACCAAATGATGGGTTCTTATTAGTCATATTTAAGGAACCTATCTTTCAAATGAACTTTAGTACAGTACAACTCATCTACATACACTAAAACCATTTAAAAACTCGGTTTCATCGTTCTTGAGGTGTGCCTGAAATAAGCTACTACGGAATTTTTAATATTTGTCTCTCTCTGATACACAGATGCGTAATTCAATTGTGCGAGTCACGTTTGTCATGGTAAAGTGCGATGAGAAGGGTGAAGAGACCACTCACGTCTCCCAGTATTGTAGCAATAACACCGATGCGTTTGGCCGATACGGTGTCGGTGATAAGTTCGGCCTCTTTACGAATACAGATAGCTGCCACTGGAGGAGGTAAACGAATCGAGCTTAGACAAGGAAAGACAGATGAAACAACTTATTGCAAGTGTTTTTACACGCACACGTCAAGAAAGATGAAAACGTCTATATACATTCATACCATATAGAAAACAAGTAATCTACAATTTTGTTGTTAACGATCTCAGAGATTTTCAGAGAGATGGTCAACAGAGACACTGTCAACAGATGAAACAAAACTATAAAATACAGCAGTATAAATGAACCATGGCGCAGTCAATGCGAAATGGAAGAAGAAACCGCCATACATTGGCTCTAAAATTTTTAGCGATATGAGGAAAGTTTATATCGGCAAAATAAATATTAGGAAAAAAACAAAACATGACTTCATATTGGAGTTTAATGAAAGGACAGGGTTTGGTGCAAAGGTCTCAGGATCAAGGGCCATATACAAATAGTATCTTATCTGATTTAATAAGAAGAACATTCATTAGAAAGGTATACTGATGGATCTACGAGAGAAAAAGAGATAGCTGTATTTAAAATACCCTTATTATCACGCAAAATTAAAGTTTTTTGTGCATTTTTAGAAAAGTTAATAAAAGTTTTCAAAAAATCTTGCAAAAACTTTTGAAGCATTCTTGCAATAATTAAGCAACAAATTAACAAAAATAACCTTACCAACACTTTTAAAGGAATTTCTATACTTTTTCAGTAAAATTATGCCACTTTTACATATAATTTAGCGGTCTTCACCTTTACTGTTTAAAATCAAATAGCGATCTTACATTGTTTAGTAAATAAGAAGTTTATTTTATTGCATACTTTGTTTATTATTACATAATGTTTTCACCAAATTTATCAAAAGCAGTTGTTAGATATCTGTATCAAAGAGTGTGAAGAAAAAGGCTTTTTATTTGATAATTTTTCTGGTATCTAAATATATAAATATATATATATATATATATATATATAATATATATATAATATATATATATATATATATATATATATATATATATATATATATATGTTAAAATAAATATAGATATGTTAAAATCCTCTTGAAAATATATTCTTTCAGGTCCCTACGAAATAATAGTCACGGAAAATAAAAGTAAATCCATTTGTGAAGATTATTATATAGATGTTTTAGAAGATTATTATATAGAACGTGATAGACGTTTTAAGTCAAGGGATTAATTTATTTTTTGATATTCAGCTACCATTGAATTCATGTGTAAATGCTCTCAGGCTAAGCTCCGTAGAGCGTATTTTATTTGCGTGTAGTTGTTAACTTCTGTTACCTACTAGAAGAAAATACGAGAGTACACTTTCTTTGTACTAATAAAACAAAACATAAAAATAGTATCGCCAACTTAACATGTTTATTAAACTTTCTATGTAGTCCTTTATGCCTTTTGTTATTGGTCTACCCCTGTTTTAAATGTTTGCTTTGGCTTTTTCTTGCAATCGTTATTCCCACTGTACTAATTCAAATTTGTCGCAATAAGGTGTCATCGAGTAGTACATCTTTCCTTGTTAATCCTAATGTTGTTTTAAGATATCTTGTGTCTGTGGCTTGAATTTTACTTTTCAGTTTGTCGTTCAGAGTTCAAGCCAGTCATAAATCGAGACCGATAGGTATACATTAAATGTTTTAACCTTTAAAAGGTAAAAAGGAAAAAGAGCAGGAAGAAACATCCTACTTACACGAGGACACAATTCCAAAAGACTTGAGCAATGCAGTGATAGTCCCGTTACACAAAAAAGGTGACATTACTAAATTAGAAAATTATAGACCCATTAGCCTCTTGATACATTAATTAAAAAATGCATCGAGTACAATATACCAGGTTCTTAATTTGTCAATTACGGGAAGGCTAGTGATTCTGTAGAGTTTGAAACAGTACTGGAAGCACTAGCGCAAATCCGAATAGATTACACGTACACGTCACTAATCAGAAACAATTATAAGAACGCTGAATCAAATATAAGACTGCACGAAAACACAGACAAATTCAGCTTAGCTGTATTCTAAAATTAACACTATGTCTATTATAGACAAAGGACAACCAGTTCAACATGTCAACAGATAAAATTCTTTGGATGCTACATTATGGACAATGGCATGAGACAGAGCGATTTTGTCTGAACAGTTGCAGATAAGTAGTAAACGAAGAGGTTACTACAAAAAATATTAAAATTAATTTTAAAAATAATTTCAAATTGGAAATTTAACGAAACACATATGATGTCATTTTTCACATGTCTAATGGAGCCGAGAAATATATTTATAAACAAAAGCATTGTTTTTTTGTTACAAAAAAGCTGAGTATCTGTTTTAAAAGTTATTTTTAAATTAGTCTTATATCCATTTTGCCACATTTAATATTGTATTATAATCCAACTGATCCAAAACCAGTGGCTCCGTATTCGTAGAAAGGCTTTATTTAGGTTGTAAATCTATTGCAGATGAAACTATTTTTCAACCGTTGTTTTAAATAGTGGGCGCTGGACCTTAGGCGCTAGGTTTTAATTACTTACGATAATTATATTTAAATTATGGGTGCAAATTATTTTAATTGAAGATGAAACTTGAAGTTTAGTGTGCCCTGACCTATGTCCTTATGTATATCACCTGATTACAAAGGGTTCTTATCGCAGGCGGCCAGTGTTTGACTTAAATATTAAAACAATACATATTTTAATCATCTTTCTCTAGATTCCTTTATTCCTGTCTACCTATAATCCTTTATAGGTTACTGGTCGATATTTCAACCAGTCTAAAGTAACAAGTTTCATAAAGAGACACTGGTTTAAAATTGCGCTAGTTACTGGTGTAATATGAAACCAGTTCCCGAATTGGCGCGAAATGTCGACTAACCAGTTGAAATTTCAACCAGTGTGCATAACAAACAACATAGTGTCCGTGTTTAGTGTTTGTTTCTTCAAGAGTCTTTATGTTAATGAAACTATTAAGTGTTTTCAATAATAAATATATGGGTATCTTGGAGAAAATATCATAGATTTGTCTAATCTAATTATTTTGTTCATATGTTTTTGCGCCAAGATAATATTTATAATTTTTATTACATAACCTCCAAATTCAGTTCATCGAAAATAAATTGATGTATTTTATTCACTTTATTGCACAGAAAATGTATGGATGTTAGCGTGATTGTTTGTTGACTGTATTGTTTGGTTGGTTGCGCTCGTATTTGAATTGTTTACACCAGTTCGTATCCGTAAAATAGACAGTCTTTTTAGTGTCTTTCAGTATTGAATCTAAAAGAAAACTGAATTTAAAAGAATTGTCAATAGGTGAATTATACTATATTTTCAAGTTTTTGTATCGTATCTCCAAAGATGAGCCGACCGACTCTGATGTCGGAGAAGATTCAGGTGCTAAAGATATTTTTGCCACTATACGACTATCTTCAGCATCTACATCGTGGAGAGGAAAAAGAAATTATAAAGAAATGCATGATAATGACTCCGATTTAGACAGCGATGATTCAGTACATAACCTCGACTTTCTGTCACCAGATTTTAGGATCTGTAGAAAAAGAAGAAGAATTTGTATCTTCTGATGAGGAAACTTCAAATCCTGTTGTCACACCACGACAGTCTACTCTATTGGATGAATATTACTGGATAAAGGAGCCGATCTTAGTTTATATCTTCGAAGCAGTAACATTAGCCGAATATTCGGGTTCGAATATAGCAAGCCAGTCTCCGCTTGATTTTTTTGAAATATTTGAAGAGTCTAATTGTTATGTTCAGCAAAACGGCAAAAGTTGGATTTGTAACTAAATAAGCTTACATTTGTTTACATTTGTATTGCTCGACGAATCAAAATTTCCATTCAGATAGAATATCTAGTATCATGCCCGTGAAAAGGTTTTCAAATTCTACGATATGTGCATGATGATAATAACCAGGAAATGCCGAAAAGGGGAGACCCAAATTTTGACAAGTTGTACAAGGTAAAACCTTTAATTTCCTATTTGAAGAGAGCAATGAAGAAGGTCCTCTCGGTGAAGGAAATATTTTGGCATTGACCCAACCTTTTGTAGGAAAGTATTCCTGTGACTAGTTTAATAACTTTTTTACCAGCTTTATATTGCTCTCCAAGCTTTTGGATCGGAAACTGGTTATGAGACTATAAGATCCAATAAGAAAAAATTTATAGATAGAGGAAAAAATGTGTCATTGTGGCTATTACCATACAATGTAACAAAATAATCTTCAGTTCGGCGTGTGACTAAAGAAAAATAAAAAATATCAGTACAATGTCCAAAGAGTATTGAAGATTATAATCGAAATATAGGTGGATTTGATTTTTTCTATTATTATTTTATTTGATTATTTTTCTACTACTATTTGATCTACTTCATTCTTATTACAGTTCTGCTTGGAATTCCCGAATGCAGTGGTTAAATTGTGGTACTATTTTGTCGATGGTATTACTAAATGCATAAATTATACAAAAAACGTCAGCTTTGAATACGCAGTCTAGAGTCAAACCTGAAACACAACTAGTATTCAGAAGTATTCTGGCAAATCAACTTATGGACGGATTTTCTTCAAAACAAAAACCAAGTTCTTAGTTGGTAATAGGAAAAAAAAAAACAAAAAAGGTAGATGGTAGAGCCGCTATTGTTGAGAATACAGTATGTCTGACAAATGTTGGCGACCTCTTACCAACCTTAGACCATAAAAACTGATAGACGCGCCGTAATGCTATTCTCTCGTCTCGAGGAGTGAAGCCAACATAAAACGATTCACACAGCTGTGGGTGACGTCAGTTTGAGGCAGAAACGGTAGAGATTAGTAGTGTTTATACGCGTTGTAGACGTTTTAAAGTGTTTAAATTTAAAATTTTTCCAATACATTAATATTATAATTATGGTGGCATCTTGCAGTGCATTTAATTGTACGCAGCGACAAAAAAAGGGACAGATATATCATTTCACGGGTAAGTAAATTCACAAATTAAACTTGAAAAACATACCAGAAATGTAGTACCTATTATTTTACTTTTTGTTCCCTTATATATAATTTTCATTTTATAATTAGATTGAAAAGAAGCAGTAAATGTATTAAAACAAAAAGTAGTTGAACTTAGAAATAAAGGAAAATCATGTATTTGTGCTTTGATGGTCGATGAAATGTCTATACACCAGAAAATAGAATGGGATGGTGAAAAGTTTTTAGGGTAAGTGTAGCTTAATATTTATTAGCAATTAAAAAAAGTATCATAACATTATATTTTCTATTTAAATAATTGAAATCATTAATTTTAGGTATGTTGGCATAGGAAGTAAACCTCAAAGCGATTCTCCACATATGTTGAAACTTATTCGCAATACTTTAGGTTATTACCAAATTTTTTTGACGGGAATAATAAAGCGATTAAATGGGAATATTTGCAAAAATTAGTAGACATTCAAGAGAAGGAAGGCCTTCATCTTGCAACTAGGATAACGCGAAGGCATTTAAATTGATATAAGGAAAAAATGAAAGTGAAATTAGCTGCCCAAACGTTCAGCCAAAAAGTTGCTAAGGCAATACATTATTTGAGAAATAAAAGCTCAAAAGAATTTGTACATAGCGAAGCTACTCAAAATTTCATTGAAAATATCAATGATATTTTTGATATTTTAAATAGACGAAATTTATTGGCAAAACACCTAAAATCTAGTTTACAGCATCATAATAAACAAGCGATTTTTCAAAAAACTGAAGAATCTATAAAATATCTTAGTTCACTTAAGTGTTCCAAAAATGGTGAACCCCTATATCTAAGCCAAAGAAAGACGGGTTTTATTGGTATGATCATTAGTTTAAAATCACTAATGGGAATTTTTAAAAATTACGTGGAGGATATGGATGGAGGTCTGAAGTATCTTTCGGCCTATAAACTTTCTCAAGATCACTTAGAAGTTTTCTTTAGTTCTATTAGGAGTCATGGAGGTTACAACAACAACCCAATGGCAAAACAATTTAAAGCTGCATATAAAAGACTGTTAATGCACAGAAGTGTTACAGGATGCACCCAGGCTAATTGTATAGAAGAGGCACCTTCCATAATATTAGCAATGAGCACAACAAATACTGTGAAAATGAAAACTGTTGATCATCAACTCATTGACAACTTTATAACTGATGAAAATAATAGAGAAACAATAACTAGTAATCAGGATCAGGATTATACTGTAAATATTTTAAGTTTTTCAAGAACATTGTCATCTTATGTTTGTGATGTTGTTGACTATATCGCTGGGTTTGTCGTTAAGACAGTTAAGAAAACATTAGATTGTGACACATGTTTGTGTGCAATTGAATCACAATAGTACTATGAATTGAATGTGATAATTTACAATCTCCATTCATAAGACATAACAATTGTAGCATGTCAAAACATTTTTTTGTTTAACCTTCTAAAGACGTCATTCATATTTGCAAAATTGCTGAAAGCGAAATTAAATTTATGTACAATTCAAAAAAATTAAACGATTCCAAAATAATGACAAAATTGATCTTAAATGTCATGAGTAACGTGCATGGTTCTGTGTTTAACGCATACAAAGAACATATGTTTGATCATGAATTTGAAACAAACCATTTGTTTAATCTAATAAAGATAATTTGTTTTCATTATTGCAACATTAGATTGTACCACGAAGGTGAAAAACGAAATAATGTAATAAGAGTTAGAAGTAAGTTAACAAAAGCTATTTTGTTTTGTGGTCAATAAATTAATAGATTTCCTACATATTTTTTTTTACCTATCCTGAAACTTCCACCCAAAAGAAAATTATTCTCCTTTAAATTTATTTCTGAATATCAAACAAGAAGTGATATACCAACGATATATATAATAATATATGTAGGTATGTACTTTCAAATAAAACATTTATTTTTACAATTTAAGGCAAATATTTTTATTAATTACTTTGCTAAATAATTTATCTTCCATATTTTTTACAAAATATTGAAGTTATATTAAAATTAATCTAAAATTGGGTAATTATACTAGCGCTTTGCTAAGAATCCAAGCGGGCTCTTGCCTCATTGTGACGTCACTTTCGCGGAAGGTCTTTGCTTCAACGGTTCGGTACAAGGCGTGTCTATCAGTTTTTATGGTCTAAGTTACCAACCAACAAGACTACAAGAAGATATGAAAGATGTAGTGCAGAAAAGCACATAAAAAGATCTAGCGTAGCTTGCGCTAAATGTAAAGAAGCCCTCTGCATGCCATGTTTCGCCCCTTTTCACAATAAATAAATATTACGTTTTCTAAATAAGGTTTTACCATTTTAAGATCTTTTTTCAAATTATCTGGTTTTATTTGGAATAATATATCACATTTTGACGTTACAAAGTATTGTTTAAATACCCAAAAAATAAACTATTTGAAATTTTAACAAGAAATTTCATGGACAATTATTTCGCATAACTGGATATTGGCTGAAAAATCAACCAGCGCAGGAAAAATTCTCAGGTTGTTTTTTTAAATATTTTTATAAACTACTGTGATTTGGGTACTACATACAACCAAAAACATTGACTAAAAACTTGACATCACTTCTGTATTAATTTGTCCCATAAAGGGTTAAAGTAATTATCTCGGCTAGTAGGAAAAAAAATTGTTCATCAAAGAAATAAATGGACGTAATGAGATAGATTGTGAACATGACACGAAGCACACTAGTGGGAGAAGAGTTAAGTATACTAAACATGATAAAAATAACAAACAACCAAAAGCTCTCGTGGGCAAAATTATACACTAAACATTTTAATTATGAACATATCAGTAAAACCATATCTCCAAAGTGACGACAAGGGAAGCTTGGTGTAGAAGAAACTGAATTAAAACACCTGCCTGTTGTATAACCATTTGATCATAATGCTTACCTTAAAGCAGAATGAAGAATACTGAGATTCGATGGTTTTTTCTCGTCTTGAGTTGTCGGCAATTGTTTCTTCAGAAGATCGAAACATTCTTTCAGATGCGCTCGCCGATGTTTTTCAAGTTTATTATGTACTTCCCGAGTACCAGCTCGGAATACAAGGGGAGGTTGTTTTCTCTTACCGTCCGAGTTACCGTCGTCATTTCCGATGGAATTTCTTATATCAAAACTGTTGTGCAGAACTCTCTGTCGTGATATTTGTGGCACCGTTGTACTGGAAATCTGAGCGTCTTGTTCTAATTTTTTCACAATCTGAAATGAAAAGAGACTTATTAGTGTAGTCATTAAAGTACAATATAAGACCAAAATAATGGACGATATGCCTTATGCTATATATTCTACTAAATTTTTAAATTGAAAATTAAATAAATCGCGTATCACTTTGGATCTAACAATAACTCCTAACAATCAACTATTATATGTGCACAATGCATAATAATAATAAACATAATTGAAAAACATTTAGAAGAAAATCTCTTTTTAGATATAACTGACTTGACAGTATGACACGAACGTTTTAGGTACAAACTAAGAACTTTATTCTCACACAACACACACATTGTCCAATTTTATATATTTGATAGACCAAAACAATTGTATATATTTAAAAGAAATGATCGCAGATCTACAATACTAGAAAATTCGAAATATTTCAGCTAAGTTAATTAGTATCTGCCATATTGGCTGATAAAACTGATTTTAGAGATAGAGAACTTTAAAGAGAATTATCTTCACTCCAAATACGGCAGTTTTGTTTGTTGATGTAGCTATTCAAACAAAAGTAAGCTTCATCGCTAACACAATTCGCTTATGAAAATACGGATTAACGGTAATCTCGTTTTGGGCCCATTCACAGAATCCACGCATTGTTAGGTGATCGTGTAGCTTAAATTCTTGCAAGAGTTGGATTTTGTAAGCACGCAAACCAAGATCTTTCTGCAAAATCTTCCATAAAGTGAATGGACACATATACAACTGCTGTACACGATGGCAGATAGACTGATGTCTTACTGCGTGTTATACTGCGTGTTTACAACTTCTTCTTTTAGTATTGGCAACCAAAGCCTGCTACATTCTGCTGATGGGTTTGCTACACATCTTTCTTTATTAGTAGGATGAGGGCTGCTTCTTTAATTTTTCTCTTTGTCCTGTCTGTTTCTTTCATGATAATTGATGATACTTTCCATTGTACTTTTCATTGTTCCAGGCATGTTTGTCTATCTGTGATTTTGTCGAAGTCACTGTCGAAATGTACGTTTCATGCTCATTTATTATGACACTTAGTGGTCTTGCGGGTTCCCACACATAGAAGTTGTTGCACAGGGGAATAACCAGAAAGTTCCATAGGGCAAAACATCAACCCTCATATCTTTTTAGGCAAGACATGGCTGTTGCCTACAATACCACTGCCAAGCGAGTCAATTTCAATTTTTGAAACGACATAACCTCAGCAACTCTGGCGGTTATACATTCTTTTAAACAACATTCTTAAATATTCTTTTTTTAAAAATATTTCCTGAGTGGAAATCGAAACGTCAAATCTTTTAGTCAAAAATGAAATTTTCATTACAATCAATTGTGACTTAATCCTATATAAACACAATATTTGAAATTTTCATTGTACCAAGAGGACAAGTAGGAGTGAAGCCAGCTGATCGAGAGAAAACCGCATTTTTGACAGAATCAGGCCTTTAGCAATTTACAGTTATGCCATTTGGTCTATGTAATGTTGCCGTTACCTTTGATAGGAATAGAGCCAGCTGATCGAGAGAAAACCGCATTTTTGATAGAATTAGGGCTATGTAATGCTACGGCTACAATTGAGAGATTAATGGAGGCAGTTTTGAGAGAACTAACATGGAAACGTATTTGGATAAGATCATTAGACGAGCATTCCAAGAATCTGGGGAAAGTGTTTCAACGGTTACGTGCAGCTAAATTAAAACTAAGACAAGGTTTAGAAGTACAAGTATCCAAAAGCTTGTTGATATGGTCTTTAATACATGTCAAGATGTTGATAATGAACAAAAAAAAAATAAAGCCTTTGCTATGACAATTTTAAGACGTTCTGGCATGTAAAGGATGAAGAATGTAGGATGTAGGATAAGACCAAAACAAGCATAGTAATCCATAAAATTAATACTGAAAATTCTCAGTTAGTGAGACAATAACCAAGAAGAATTTCCTTGGCGACACGAGAAGAAGCTGATTAAATTATAAGAGATATGAGCAAACAAGGTATCATTGAATCATTAAATAGTCCGTGGATCTCCAATACAATTTAAAATATCCACAAAATTATTACAGGCATAGACAATATTTGGGACAAGTTAAACTACATTGACTTTAGTTTATAACGCTGATTTAAATACAGGGTGATGCATTTAAAAACACTGTATTAAGATTTAAATCGTTTTAGCAAAATCAATCATTTTAATGAAGATGAATTTTGACAATTATTTAAAAACTATGACTAAAACAGGTTGTTGCTTTTGTACACATTTTTAACACATTTTGTGCACTTACACAGAGCGATTTTTATTGAAATTTGGTTATAACTTGTCAAGTACTCTGTATAATACAAAACATTTTTAAATTCTTGTAACAAAGAAGTGTTTCATTAAAACAAAAACATTGTTGTTTTTGTTTCCGCTGTAAAGCTTAAAGCTACCGCTTATTTTTGTAACTAACTTTTTTGTATCTCCTATAATAACAGATTTAACGGCCTTTATCACAAAGGTTGAACAGTCTGTATAATATGAAGAAGAAAAAATAAGTCTAGTCGCTTTAATCTTTGTGGTCATTTGACCCATGAGAACCAATCATTTATAACTACATCTATAACGCCGTCTACACTCTCGATCGAAGTTCTTCGGACGAAGTGTCGAAGTGAAGTTAATCGAGGCTAGGTGACTCTCTACATACTCGTTAAGTCAAGTAATGCAGTGTGACACTTCGTATTCTAACTTCGGGTCCTTTGACTCAGGCGCGAAAAACCGACACAGCACGGAAGTAGAACGAGGCGAACGGCGAAGCGAAGTCGCATGAAGTACCTGTCCTGTCTATACTCTCGTACTCACTAAACTTCGATTAACTTCGCGTGTAGTATAGCAGCCGCTTAAGAGTATGACTTAGAAATCATACAGTGGGTTAGAAATTTTGTGCCAAACCAATCACAAATATATTTTAATAAAAACAACAAAAAGGGGCAATTTGTAGAATTTTTGTTTAGGAACATCATAGCTTAACTGAAAATAAGTAAAAAATGTAAATTTGTATACATAAAGTTAATGGTTCTATTATAGTTGACAAAGCTAGTTAAGTCAATAGATATTATCACGCTCCAATTTGCTCTTTATTGCTTTTTAAGTTTTATCTAAGGATATATTTATAAACAAACTAATTACATCGAAACATACCAAAACAATATTAGTTATTATTGTGTTGATACAATTTCTATATTTTTTAATTTTATACAAGATGCAAAACATCACATCATTTATCCAGCGTGTATTTTTTAATTTAAGAAGCAGTGTTTTTGGATTTCCAAAATATTATCTGCAAAGAGCTGTTACTTTTTTTATATCGTCATTTATTTTATAACGAAAGGATTATTAATTAGTAGTAATTTGTTCTATAACCCCCAAAATAGTATTATTTGTGACGTTTGGAAATTTATATTTGAAAAACGGTTTTAGATTTTATTAATTTGGCATATAAAATAAGTATGATAATAATATCGCATTTAGAAACGATGTGATATTATTAGGTTGTGTGATACTCTCTTCAAAGGACAAGAATGTAGAATGTTAAGTCGTATCACACGATTCGTAATAACTCAAACAAGATCTATCACATTGGTTTGGTCATTCTAATAAATAAGAGATGAACTCAATTGATTACTAAATACCAATTATTTCCAATAGACTATTTCCAATAGACCGATATACACTGCAATCGCTCTGAATAAAAGACGAACTTACAAATCATACATGCTTAGCGTTAACAAGTGCATCAAAAAATTAGTAATCTGAAATTTTGTATGTAGGTGTAATGAGAGCACGGCCACCACATTTTGTTAGTGGAGATTTTAACTCACATAAACAATACTAACGGATGATCTTGCCATTATGGGAGAATACTTTCGCAAATGGAGGCTACGGCTCAATGCAACAAAAACCGAAGTGTGCTGTTTCCATCTAAATAATGCCCAAGCCAACAAAAAACTCCGTATACTTTGAAAACAGACTGCTCACTCAGAATTCAACACCAAAATATCTTGGAGTGACTCTGGACAGAACATTCAGTTTTAAAGAACATCTACAAAAAACGACAGCAAAACTGAAAACGAGAAATAATATAGTCCAAAAGCTGTGTGGCACTACATGGGGGTCCTCATCCTTCGTACTCAGATCATCCGCTCTCGGACTTGTATACTCGGTGGTTGAATATGCTTCCCCGGTATGGCCCAATAGCAAACACACGAACATTATTGACATCCAATTAAACCAAACAATGCGAATGATCTCGGGTACAATTAGACCCACACCGAACTATTGGCTTCCCATTCTGAGTCACATTCCACCGCCGAAACTGCGAAGAAGTGATTAAACTCTCTTCTCAAAGAATATCGAAAAATCGAGGCTAACCATCAACTACCCATCCACCATGATAAGCTTGATATCGAAATACACAGGCTGCGCTTCAGATATCCTACATTGCTAAGAGTCAACTCCTTACATCAGGAACATTTCAACCTCACCAACGCTTGGAGAAGACAAGAGAGGGGAGAGCGACTCACCACAGGAAGCACACCAAATGGCCTGTATCGATCAGAAACCGCCAGGGTTTGAACTGACCAGCAATACATGGACAACGCTAAACAGAATAAGAACAAGCAGCGCTAGATGTGCTGACAGCTTATATAGATGGGGAAAAGCCCTTACTCCTGAGTGTGACTGTGATGCGCAATGAGAAACCGTCCGTCACATTGTTGAAGAATACCCCCCAAGGCGATTCCCTGGAGTTTTCGATGAGTTCCTGAATGCGACCGAAAATGTTTTACACTATATTAATAATACATTAATAATACATGTTCGTTTGTAATACTTCATGTAACGTTTTATATTGATTTTTAATGTGTTCTTATTGTATGCCATACGATAAATAAAAATTAACTCAAAAATTGTGAAAATCAATAAGAGTACAACGAGCAATATGGTTTAGAAGCTAGAAAGTATACAGATAAGATG